TCTCAATTACGAGATTTTATAATATTTTGGAATACTTTTACTACACACTGAACTTATCTAAAGTAATTATTCTGTCTTTTTCCTCAAAAAGGATTGTAAGAATACAAAGAGGGGGGGGAGGGGATTGCTTTAGGAAGAAAATGTTTGTCAGTCCCCAATATTGTAATGTCTACATTAGAAGTACAGGACTGGAACAATTTAAATGGCACTGCTCCTTTGCATCATATTCTTTATCTCATATATCATTTAAGTTGTAAAACTTACAGAAAAGCAAACAGTAAAAGCTTTTGAGAAAATGGATAATTGAAGTTAACAGTTATTCTCCAGCTCAGTAACTTTAACATTATATTATTTTATCAATGCATCATAGTCCATAGTTGAAGGACAATCCTCTAACTTAAAACAAAAAAGAGCTATCAAAAATGGTAGTAAAATAATGATTATTATGGGAGAATAGAAGTTAATTGGAATTGTATTGGACACTGAAAATTTGTGCACATCATATGTAATAATAGTGCAAATTTTGTGGAAACCCTTCAAATTACATGAACATGAATGAATGTCACTATGAAAATATAAATCTGCATATATATATATAGAGAGAGAGTGAGAGTAAATGCACCAAAACAATTTATGCAGCATGCATCTCTCACATAAAACAAGCACACGCACACACTTGCACACACAACAAATGCCCATATATAGTACATCCAACAGGTTACAGTTTAAAAGAGTGTATGTTAGTGATCAACTAAAGAAAGGAATAAACAAAATAAAATAAATATATAAATAGTAGTTTCCCAAAATTTTCAAAATAGTTTTCCAGTAAACATTAATGCTACAGCTGTAATAGGCTATCACATATTTATTTCTAAAAATCTGCTTATACTGTAGTTTAAAAATGTGTGAAATCCAAAGTAACTAGCCAAAAATTCATATTAGAGTTTCTTTATTATTTATTATATCAATCTACTTGCCCTGTCTTTAATATAATTATATAATTAAATAAAGCTGATTAGAACTATTATGAAAAAATAAAAGTGCCCATACTGTACAATGAGCTGTTACTTTCTTTTTCATCACATCTATATGTTTTTACTTGGATTTTATACATCCAATGGTCTACTTTAGATAAGGGAGATGGTACAACTTAATTACTTTCCATTGAAGATTATGAAATTACAGTTACACTTGTGCATAGAAGTGCTGTGGTAGAAGCAAAGCAATAACTTTCCATAGTTTCTGTTGTATTACTAAAATGTAGAAATAATAATTGTGAGAAAGAAATGGCAATACAATTAAATTGTATATTTATTCTTGATTCACATTTTTTTCTCCAATTTTACTACAAATACAAGGACAATATTGATATATATGTTATATAATTTTCTCTGAGGTCAGTGCAAAACCAAGAGCAAAAGCCTCTACTCTTGAATCAATGATAAGCCCATCTGCTGCAAAGTCTGAAAAAAAACACAAAACTGTACAGTGACAGTGTATAGAAACCCAAATGCTCTCCTGACAAAGAGCCACAATTTCACATTGCATGCAGGCTTACTGGATTTTATCTATTTATCATTTTTTTTTTCAGATGGAAAGATAAATTGCATTATCTGTAACCATTTCTAATATCATGACAACATATACATCTATTTTTTGCAGTTATGCAGCAAGAAATGTGAATGTATGACTTTTCATGTATTCTATGATTATAAAATGACTCACTTAACTATGGTGTTTTATTGAATCACATCAACCTAATGCTGATTATAATACATTACCCATCAAAGACTTCTGGAGGGAGTTCAGTGGCACAAGAATTACTTCTATGTGTTCTCCTTGTACACCACACACTCTGGAAACATCCTTGTTCACTGCATCATCACCATTGACCTAAAAGAAGTGATTTTTGTTTCTTTTTGTTAAAAGTGCACACTATTCTGTTTATCATTGTATCTTATAAATGTATTAAATGAGGTCCCTACTTTCACAAGATTAACTTACTCTTGCCTTTTCTTTAAAAATCATCATCATCATCATTATCATACACTAAGAAAAAAAAAAAAAATATATATATATATATAGTCCCATTTAACAAACAAATAGGTAGTCTGTCATATACTATACATTTAACTGATACGGTAGTAAGGAATTATGTAAATCCATTCCCGATGGGCATGGTATGTACGTACATCCCATGCCCACTGTGAGTTTACTTGTTTAATTGTTTTCACACACAGAAGGCTACATTTGTACTAAATCATCAATGAGCCAATTACGAGTGCTGCCTGTCTCGCCCATTTACCCTACTCTTTGATTTATGAAAATATTTTACGTTATCTTATTTTGCTATTACTGTTTATAACATTATAGTAATTATAATGTTTATAATAAAAATAAGACCATCGATATTCATAGCACTAGTAAAAAATACATTTTCTCGCCAATTCAAGGAAAGGTGAAATCTATATGTAGAGGCCTTTCACAAAAATATAAAAAATGAGCACAGCATTTTCCCAATTTTCTATTCACTTTCCCCAGCGGCAATGGGTTAACCTTTCATAAGTTAAGATATACATATTCATATGATATTATCATGCCTTGGTCATATATTGTGTAGTTAGTAATACTCAAGTATATTTTAACTGACATATAACTATTATTTTTGTTATAATTATGAATTAAGGGGACTGCAAGAGACTAATAAAACTGTCCTATTTAGTATAAAACTTGTATATGAGGGCAAGCAGGGGACTAATCCTTCTTGCTCATTAAGTAATAGCCTCATGGATCTGTGTTGGTTTATATAATGAATCAGCACATTATTATTATCAAAATAGTGAAATATAAATGTTTTATTACCCACTCTATGCTGTATCTATTACAGGTGACATTAATATCATCTAGAAAACAAGAACAAACTGCAAGGAATAATGAGGAGATAAAATATCACCAGAATGATGTGATAAAAGTACTATAACCTGAATAAGTACCTGTTCCATACTTGACCAAGCAACTATGATCATTATGATTATTAAAATAAAGTAAAGGTTCCAAATAGAACAGGTTGTTCACTTGCAGGTCGACCTGATGGAGTGAACTAAGAAATATAAATGAGCTGTTACAAAAAGTTCAAAATAGGACAGGTTATTCACTTGTAGTTTGATCATCTGATGGAGTGAACTAAGAAATATCCTATTTCTGAATTAACATGGTTGCAAAGGTTCTATCTAAATTCCTTAAAGCATTAAGACAAACATTAAGAAAACTCAGAAGCACCGTACAATATTATGAAAATTCTCAAAACTACTTATTGTTATTGATTATAACAGAATAAAAAACTATGACATGGCCAATAACAAAATTTTCTTTCTTTTATAAATGCATCTTTAGGAAGCCTACATATGATAAGCTGAAATCCATGCTATAAAAAAAATTACAATAATTGAGTAACACAACTCCTATATAGGAAAGCCTGAAAAATATGAAATTCTGTGAAACCCACATCTACACTGCCAGGAACTCCTTCACAACCAATCATTATCTACACTAACAATGACTTACTTGAAGATAAATAAAACGTTATAAAAAAGACAGCAACCTTAATCCAGGAAGTAGTATGGTTAACAGTAATACAATTAGAATTTCCTGTACCAGAGCTGAATGGAAAACAGGCTGTTATCCTGTAAACTCAATGTAATTTGTAACTTATAATTTGCAGCTGATAAAAAAGTTTCCATTAATATGCACAAGTCAGCCTTCTATAAAAAGATTGTTGCTCTTAGTATCCTTTTACTTAACAGAGAATATCTAGAAGGATATCAATGAGCAGCCTCACTCTCTTTTTTATCATCATGACAGATAAAAAGAGAAAAACATTATTAAACAGTATCACATAATATTTCTTTTTATTTTCCAAAATACATCAATGCATGTTTTAGTGTTCCTTTATTTATTTGACTGCTTTCCCTCACAATTAAAAAAAAACATATTTTATAACTAACTGAAAACTATTCTCTTTAATTACATGGATCTAATCTTTCAACAGTAATATTAGAACAAATCCATACCCCACTTTCACTGCTGGTCAATATATGATTATCTAACACAGAAGTACAGTAAGACATTTACACTGAATGGAAAGCAAAGTTTACACGATAGCTTCCACAAGAGCCCATTTTAAAACTAAAGGACCCTGAAACTAAATCTTGTACAATATTCTATAGTTCTAACTATGGACTAATTATATAATTCTTCCAAAGAACACAAGAGTAAAATTAAAATAGTGCAACAGAACATTCTTCTTCATGCTTCTCTAGCTCATACTTGTATGTGAAGATCAAGATGTAAAATTCCTGCCTCTTAATCTGGCCTGAATAGAATCCATGATATCCACAAAGAACAGTAAATTACACTTACTTTTACTGTAACAATCTTCATAGTTGCACTTGACATTCCTGGATCTAATGAAACATTTCTACCTATGCCAGTTATAGACCCACTATATCCAGTTTCTTCTTTGAGTTCTCTTAATGCAGCAGTTTCTATTGTTTCACCATTGTCAACAAGTCCTAAAAAAAAAAGTTTTTACAGTTGTCTTTAAGTATATTATCATTCACCATCCAATGATTTGTACTATATGTGTATATCAATAAAATCTAATAGGTAAAAATCAATTTCACAAAAACTATGTGTAGTACCTGCAGGCATTTCAATGGTGTAAGATTTCAGTGGTGGTCTAAATTGCTTTATGAGCACCATTGCATCAGGATGTCCAGACCTACTAACTGTAGCTACCACAGCAACACAATCTTGATCTTGAGGGCCTTTGGTAGTTCTGCCAACAACTTCCCATATTCTACAACAAAACAAATGTGTATCATTTATAAAATCACAATAAAAACTCAGCAGAATACCTTACAACCATTCACTTCAAATAAAACATAAAATCCTATTTCTTCTAGGTAATCAAAACCTGTGTGTGTATCATTTTTGTAAGTGCATGTGCAAGTGCCCATCTGTTGTGTGAGCATGTCTTGTAAGCATCTGTGTGTATATGTAGGAGTATATTGTGTGCATATGTGAAAGTGTGTTTATGTTCTCTTCACCAGAATGAAACTATTGGAAACATGCTAGTACATATGTACAAGCCTCAAAGTATCCAAAGATAAAGAGATAACCAAAATAACTGATAGCTTTACCTCTTTTTTCCAGTGTGATCAGTCCAATGATGGTTACTCAAATATAACCATTTTCCTCTGGTTAATTCTGCCTCTTGTATCACCTTGCACTCTTTTGGTCTTTAAAGAGATCAATAATAAATAAAAGTCAGTAAAAACAAGAATCGTCATCAAAAGAAATACACCAACAAAATGTAATTTCATAATAAAATGGGATGGAGTTAATGACAATGTCAATTTAATATATCAGAGAGAGTTATATCAATAACATAATTATTCATCTAGATAACTATGACTATGGATACCATTAATAATTAACTGTTTACAATATGGATACCATTAATAATTAACTGTTTACAATATAACTAATCGTAAGTATTCTTAAAAGATGATATTGGCATTTTATGTCATGAAAATTATTTAACATCATCAAAAATTAGTAATAATATGTTTTAAACTATAAACAATAGGATTCTACTTTCTATTGTATCTATGGTTAACTATACCTACAAAAAAAATGCCAGACTGTGATATTAATTTGCAATTTAATATATAATCAGTATACTCTAACCATGACTGTATTTAGCACAATCTATCAATTAAAACGGAATTATATAATAAGCTAATTAGATAATAAGATAATTAGCTAACTGAAAACTATTCTCTTTTATTACTGGGATCTAATCTTTCAAAAATTAATATTAGAACAAATCCATACCCGCTTTCACTGCTGGTCATCCTGGCTGGCAGTACGGATTCTAGTTTTTGCAAGGATGGATTCCAGACCCCGGTTGCACTATTCACAGACCAGCATCTTCTTGGTACTTGCGATATTTGTCTCAGCATCTATCACCCGACAGCACACCTTCTGAAAGAATATAGCCTTATATACATACGGATGTGATTTACTTTCTAACACTTCTGCTGCCAAAATGTTCATATGGTATGACTTGTATCAGCGATGTCTTACTATTAGACTAGAAGCTGGGTGATATACTACTGGTTTAAGAGGAACCTAAATGTTATATAACATACTGTTTACGAAACATGTGAATTACCTTTATCCCAAACTATACTTTATGCTTCATTCGACATATGCAATTCAAATACTTATGAGATACACCTCTATTATTCAACCTCCAAAATATTACCACGGTCTTTCACCATACAGTAAAGTACGGTAGTATGTTATGCCTATACGATATCCGACTCTTCTATGGGTAATAATCATAATGATCAGTCAAGATGAATTAAATGCAATGGTCTTTATTTATAGCTACTCTATCGCCAATAACTCTTTCATAAAACTCGTCAGTTAAACATTAGTCTATTTTTTCCAGTGGACTAAGAATTCTATAATCAGACGATGTTTTCTGCCCGCATGCTCGAAATATTCAATACGCATATATTTCAGGCCGGGCTATGCACAATTTCACACGGGGGAGGGGGGTCTGGTTAGTCACTAATATTTTTTTGTTTATTTACCTTTAGAGTAATAAAATAAAAGTAAACCAGGAAGGATCTATACGGTTATGCTAAAATCTATAACGAATCAAAATATAAACGAGGACTGAATTTCCCTTTGGCTAAATGTTACCAACTAATGACAACGATATACACAAACAAATTGAGACATTTACAAATGAATTGCACAATGGCCAAGGACCTCATTTATGGAGAGAGAGAGAGGGGGGGGGGATAAGATAAATATAATGAACGATAGATATATGTGAGTGTGTGTATGTGTGTGTGGGAGAAAGAGAGGGGGGGAGGTGAGAGAGAGAGAGAGAGAGAGAGAGAGAGAGAGAGAGAGAGAGAGAGAGAGAGAGAGAGAGAGAGAGAGAGAGAGAGAGAGAGAGAGAGAGAGAGGGGGGGGGGTGAGAGAGAGTGAGAGAGAGGGGGAGGGGTGAGAGAGAGAGAGAGAGAGTGAGAGGAGAAGGAGGGAGAGAGATAAATAGAGGGAGAGAGATAGAGAGAGAGAGTGGGGTGAGGAGGAGGGAGAGAGAAAGAGAGAGAGAGTGAGAGTGGGGTAAGGAGGAGGGAGAGAGATAGATAGATAGAGAGTGCGGTGAGGAGGAGGGAGAGATAGATAGATAGATAGATAGAGAGAGAGAGAGGGGTGAGGAGGAGGGAGGGAGGGAGGGAGGGAGAGAGAGAGAGAGAGAGAGAGAGAGAGAGAGAGAGAGAGAGAGAGAGAGAGAGAGAGAGAGAGAGAGAGAGAGAAACTATGAGTAAGTAAATATAACAACCTCTCAAGTTAGTGTTGCTGTTACCAGCAGGTTTTTAATGTGTTCAAAGTCATAGTGTGTTTATTAAGTTCCCCTCACTTGCAAGCTAATTTCTAAGAGGCTGGTAAAGAATAGATATTCAAAAATGATTTTTTTTTACCAGTTACAGGATGATTCATGAAGCATATCAGAAAATTCTCGAAATAGAAGAATAAACTAATAAAGAAAGATGGGATATGGAGTGATAATTTTTTTCTATTATAAATATATTGTGCTTATATTTGTATTCTATTTCTAGTCTCTTAAAATACAGCATATCTCATATTCTAATGCAATGCCTCAACACAATAACTAAAAGTGAAGATATTCACATTATTGAATTTCTGTAAGTTTCTCTTTTAAGAGGAAACTGTAAATTACAAAAAGAAAAGGTTAAGGAAACATAATTTACTGAATATATATTTATCTATATTATTATAAAACTTTTCACAATGAAAAATTATTACATAACGCATAACATGCATGCTAACACATATACGGATGTGTGTGTGTGTGTTTATCTGTATATGTATTTAAGTGTGTATGTATGTATGTATGTATGTATGTGTCTACACACACATGCACACACACACACAGACACACACACACACACACACACACACACACACACACACACACACACACACACACGCACACACACACACACACACACACACACACATATTATAATATATATATATATATATATATATATATATATATATATATACTATGTATATATATGTATATACATAGATAGATAGATAAATATACATATATACATTTATACATATACATATATACACACACACACACACACACACACACACACACACACACACACACACACACACACACACATATATATATATACATTTAAGTAGTGTGGAAGATATTGTATAGAAGAAAGAAAATTTTGTATGCAGACATTATTCAATATACAAATTTCATTTACTTTTATATTTTCCTATTATCTGAATCACAATCATCACAAAACTGGAAATTAACCCTTGTAAAGCAGTGATTCCTAACAATTTTGCAATTGACAATACTTTTCATTTGATCAAATTTCCTTTAGACCCTAAGATTTGGGAGTGTTTCTCTACTCAGGAAGTAAATTTTATTAACTAATGACAAACTAAACTTGAAATTCGTTTAACAAAGATGGCTCCACAAGTGCTCAGCTCGCAAAATTTGTGGGAAAATTTATTTTTTTCTCAATGATTTTGATAGTTTTATTATTATTATTGACATTATGATTAATATAATGTACTAATGACAATAAAATTAATAAATAATAATCAAGAATCTTGCTGAAAATCAAGGAAAAAGTAAGATAGGAATGATAATTGACTCCATGGTAACTATACATATGTGAAGCTGTTTGCATGTAAACTCAATGAACAAGCTCAAATTATAGTGTACATAGCACTGTCCAAGCAATCCATGACCTGTGGATTAAACAAGAATAAAGTAACTTGTTAGGCAAGTAAATAAATGACATAATAAAAACAATAGAAAATGTTCAAAGTTCATATCTAGTATCCTTTTTGTCAACAATTATCCATTTTACCCTGAAGGCTATAGAACTTTTAAACAAACTAATGACCTCCTGAATCTGTACACAGACCTACTGGGGGTCCAGCAATCACAAGCTGGGAGCCACTGACCTATAACATATTGACTATCATATCTCTTTTACCATATCCTTCTGTATCTATGGGAAAATCAGCCTCCATTTGGATTACTTCTGGATAATTAAGAGGGTCAATAGAGTTTTCATTTAACAAGAATGCCTCTTCTTCCGGAATATCAGCAGTTATATTATGTAACACACAGCATGCTTTAATAACTTGCGGAATTCTTTTAACATCTGAATCTACATATTTCAACCGTGGGAAACGTTCTTTAAGAAAATAAAAGGCATTCTCAATGACATACAAAGTCTTTACCAGTTTTGCATTATAGCTTTCCTCCATCACAGTCAAGTTCTCCTTGCTAGTAAATGGAACTAACAGATATTTTGAAAGCCCAAAAGCAGGATCTCCAACAAGATGATAATGCATTGACGGGAACAATAAGTGAGGTTCTTCAATTATTTGATCATACAAACTAACTGATTTAAATATATCTTCCTCAGGTGTTGATCCAGGTATTCCTGCATGCATATACATGAATTTTTTGTTCACATCACAAACTGCCACCAACAACAAGCTATGAGTTGATGCTTTGTTCATGTATTTAGGGTGTGCATCACTTGGGTTTCTAATTTCTATATGACATTTTCCAATTGCACCAATAACACCAGGGATACCTGCTATAGATCTAAATTCTTCTTCTTTTTCTGTAATCTCTTCATCCCTTGGCCATTTAATGAATATGTCTGTAGATTTACCAAGAATATTTACAACTTTCTGGACACATTCAAATACTGTTGAGGGTGCAATTCCAAAGATTTCTCCTATAATCTTATATGTAGACTTGCTACCTAAATACCATAGACAAATACACAAGGCACTTTTTGGATCAAGTGGTACAAAACCTCCTCGATAA